GGATGACGCCGTTCCACAGAACCAGAAGGGCGTTACAGAAGACCTGGGCGATTGTCGTAGAGTTTGTCTTCTGGACTTCTTCACAGGCGAGGAGATAGCACTTCACGGGCCGGTGACCATCCAATTTACCCACGGTTACGTTTACGATACATCTCCCTTTGCTATCGGTGGTTTCGTCGGTGCCAACCCAGATGTCGGAGTCACCTATTTCCTGCTGAAGTTGTCGGAGGCTGCTATCGTATATAAGAGGCAGGCAGCTCCTGCGAAGAGTTGACTCGTCCTGCACCTTGAACGACGTATGCTTCTCTAAGAATTCTTTGAAGGCGGGATGTGACACTTTATGCAACGGAATGTCAGCCTTCACAAGCGCGGTGCAGAGTTCCATGGAGAAGTCATTTTTGGGTCGATCCCCGCGAGCATCGGAGAGCAGTTGCTGTCGGCTACTGTGCCGTTGCAACGACTCTTTGTGGAGAGAAGTTTTCACGTGTTGTTCCAACGTGAACTTTCTTGCTCCTGGAAATCCCTTTGAGCAAGCTTTGCAGAAGACCATCGACGCGTCGCACGAAAACGTATCCTCACCAAAGACGCGCACGAGCTGTTGATAAGATGGCTTGTGCTTCGGCATTTTTGAAGGGGAATCCTAAGCTGAGTGAACCAAGTTTCGTACGTTTGTGTCTAATCGTCGGTGCATATGCCTCAAGCTAATACCGTTAACTCTCAATTAAAAAAAAAACGTTGGCCCTCNAAAAAAAAAACAAGAAACCGTTGGCCCTCTTGGCGCTCCGCAGGAGGAACCAATGAGAGCGGAGCGCGGTAGTTTGGCCCTAGCCTTAGGTGTTAGAAAGTGAAAATTCAAATCAATAGAACAGAATTATTTGAAGTAGAAATTTATTAAAAATGTATAGATTTTGGGAAATAAGAGAATAGCGGAGAAATATGCATAAAATGCGCAAAAACTGGAAATATGCATAAAATGCATAAAAACTGGAAATATGCAAAAATATGCGTAATATGCATATGCATATTTT